GTATACACCAGGATCCGCTCTTCCCTGTACGAGTCTCAGCGCGGGGCCGGAAAAAGCGTCGGTGTATAGAGTTCGGCTCCGTACGTGGACCTCCAGAGGTCTCGACACACTCCCTGGGACTGGCTCCTCATCCTGAACCGCTTCTTGACGGTCCTGGGGCCCCGCGAGGATGCCCGGAGGCCGAGAATGATTCAGAGCCCCTCGTCCTAATTTTGTACCGACGCGAGGGGGGTCTGGGGATCTTGAGCAGGGACCGACCGTCCCAGCATTCCTATAGTCCTACCACGAAGTGTTCTTAGAATCCAACAATGTTCTAATTACATAAGCAATGTTCTTCGAACATAAACCCAATGTGATAAAACAAAACAGGCTCCGCCAGAAATGTTCTAAGAACAGTTCGTGGGAACCACAAAAGGTTCTTAGAACATTGTTTGGTAGGGCTATGGGCGAGCCAGGACGCTTCGCCACTGCTTGAGTCTGGGGATCGAGCAGCTCTGGTCCAAGCGTCTCTCGTCCCGCGCCAGCTCGACTGCGCGCGCGTGGAGGCAGGAGGCCCCAGCCGTTCCAGCGCGGGCCGGTCCGAGGAGGCGACGCGGCCGCCAAAAGCTCAGCCAGAGCGCCCGAGCAAGCCAGCTTCAGCTTCAGCTTCAGTCAACCCGTATAGCAAGGATGCGCGATAAGGATGCAAGGGCCTCGGACGCCCAGTTCGAGGCTTCTCGAGCAACGAAAATGGCCGAGGATGGACCGAGGAGGCAAGGATGCAAGGGCACCCTTGGGAAGGTTGCCCATCCTCACTCCGCGGGTGGACTGCATCCCAGTCGCAGGCTCGAGATCGTCAACTGTTGCACTGTGAGGTCGGGCATGTCCGAAGGATTGCAAAAAAAACCCAGGATTGCAAAAAAAACAGGGTTGCAAAAAAACCGAAGGATTGCAAAAAAAAACCAGGATTGCAAAAAAAACTGATTTTTTTTGCAATCCGGGTTTTTTTTGCAATCCTACAGGCGGACTTCGGCAGAAAACACAGAAAAAATGCCCCCAAGGGAAGAACCATACAACAAGAAATGACCAAACGTAGTCGCAGAATCGCCCCCCGACTGTGTTTCGACTATGTTTGAATGCGGGCAATATTCATATCCATATCCGGTGCGTCTTGGACTTTCTTGGAAGGGGCGCCGCAAGGCCGAGGCGCACTGAACATGGATAAAAACTGAGCCTTTGGAGGCAGATTATGATCCATATCCAGTGCGCCTCATGCTTCTTGGGGAAAGAGTCCGAAACTCCAGGACGCGCTGGATGTGGACAAAGACATTGCCCGCGTTGAACTCTCTCCCCGCAGAGGGACATGCCCGGCTCCATCGGATACTGCGCCGTCGGCGGCCGCGGGGCGGAGAGGCGGCCCCGGCGGCGGCAAGGAGATCGGCTACGCGCAAGAGGGGCCCTGGGTCGGAAATTACTCCAGATTTCGTAATAAAGGGAGGGGGGTCTCATTTCAGTGGGGGGGGGGAGGGAGGGCCTGGGGGGGTCTGGGGACGATGTTTTGGAGGGTTCTCCCACGGGGGAGGTCTGAAATGGCTTGTCTTGGAGGGTCCAGACCCCCTCCCTTTCGTTACGAAATCTGGAGTAGCCGAGGATGAGCGCGCGGGGCGGGGCCGCACCGGCCGGCGCCGCGCCGCCGCCCTTCTGCAGCTCCTTCACGCGGTAGGCGTACCTCCGCCCGCGCGGGGCGCGGCGAGGAGGGGCGGCCGGTGCCCGATCGATTTTTTGCGACAGGCCGACACGACGAGGGGAGGGGCCAAAGAGAAAGAGGAGCAGGAGGAGGCGTAGGGGGAGGCGGAGGAGGAGGAGGACGGCCAAGCAGGAGGAGGAGGAGGAGGAGGAGGAGGAATGCCAGGTCGGGCATGTCCTCCCACAAGCAGATTTGGGAGGTGGACTCAGACATCACACTGAAGCATCGGCAACAGAACAACAAGCAAACAGTCGCTAAAAGTCGTCCCAATACGATGTTTTGACTGACGGCCCAAGAGGTCTCCAAGAGGGCCCCGAGACAGCTTAGGAGCGCCCCAAGACGGCCCGAGACGGCCCCATGTACATGTGTGTTTAGTTACATGCATACGTACATACGTACACACGTACATACGTACCTAACTACCTACATACATTCATTCATGCACACACATACGTACCTACCTACCTACCTACCTACCTACCTACCTACATACAGACAGACAGACAGACAGACAGATATACATATGTACATACATACATACATACATACATACATACATACATACATACATGCATGCATGCATACATACACACATACATGCATGCATGCATACATACATACATACATACATGCATGCATGCATGCATGCATGCATGCATACAATCATGCACACATACATACATGCAAACATCCATAGATACATACATACATACATACATGCATGCATACACATATATATATATATATATATATATATATATACAGATATACATACATACACACATGCATACATACATAACACTTGCACACGCACGTACACATGTACATGCACATGCACATGCACATGCCCATACGCATACGCATATCCATACACATACACCTACACCTACACCTATACCTACACATATGCATACGCATGTACATATACAGATACATATGCATGCATATATACATGCACCTACATCTACACACACATTCACATACACGTCCACGTACACATACACCTCCACATACACATACACATGCATATACACATACACCTATATATGCACATGCACATACACATTAACATACACATGTACACATACATACATACACACGTACATACATACATATATACATGCATGCATGCATGCATGCATACATACATACATATATGCATGCATGCATACATACATACCTACATGTATACATACCTACCTACCTGCCTACCTACCTACATACATGCATGCACGCAGCACGCATGCATGCATGCATACATACATACATACATTCACAAATACAATGACACATATACATATATATATCTATATACATACATACATACATACATACAGGCATGAATGCATGCATGCATGCATGCATGCATACATGCAGGCATACATATGTATGCGCAGCCCCGGCCCCCTCTTACTCAGAACCCACTGATCGTCTTCTTTGTTGTGACGTTGATCTTGAGCGGTTGGCGCAGAAGACGGAAGCGCAGTGGAACATTCCGTCCCTCCTCCATATCCTCCTCCTCCTGGTGCCTTTCTCGTACTGGCTGCGGAGATCATTTTCGCAGAGGGCCCTCCAGAGGAACACAAAGAAACGCTGGAGAACTTCCTGCTCCGATGACGGGCGCTCTTTCGGAATTACTGAAGGCTCGCTGGGAACCTGGAAGCGCCCCCGTGTGGGAGCCCTCGTGGAGGCTTCTGCGAGACCCTGTTGGTGTGTCGTGGCTCATGTCAAACTCAGGAGAACCTGCCGGCCCGATGCTGGCCGACGAGAATCACGTTCCCAGAGGGCTCCAGAATCTGACGATTGCGGCCGTGTGGGGGCCATCGTGGAAGCCTCGGCGTGGCCCTGTCGGAGTATCGAGGCTCATTGGGGGAGCCTTCTGGGGCTCTTCGGCCGCGTGCAGAGGCCCCCCGTGGAGTGTCGAGGCTCGAAGTAAGTATCCTTGCGTTGTGCGTGGGCTGCCTCGTGGATGCCTCCTGGGCCGTCCCCGCGCGTCGGGAAGCGGAGCAGACGACCAGTTACAAAGCATGTATAAAGCTGTGAGGGACCACTGATTTCTCCTCGCTGCGGCTCTCTCGGAGGGCAGTTTGGAACCTCAGCGCGGCGTCTTTAAAGAGGAACTGGGACACACAAATGAATAGACACAAAAAACCATATTCCCTATGTTTCCTAATATTTTCTGGATGTTTTGTCTTCCCCCCCACTTCCCATATCTTTCCATCTTTCCCTGGGGATCGACGATTACTTGTGTCTGTGTGTGTTTTTTTCCTCCTGAGTCTTGACGGCCTCGAGGGCAGCACGGAAGCCTTAGTCGGCGTTCTGGAGCCGCTGTGGCACCCTGCGAGCCTTCTTCACGGCCCCCGTTGGCGTGTCCACGCTCCTTTGGAGGGCCGCCTGCGGCGCTCCCGGGCCATCTCGGGCACCTCTCGGGCCGCTCTGGCGCCGCCTTCGGGCGCGCTGTGGGCCTTCGTGCACGCCTCGCGTGCCGCCTCCGAGCGCTGGGAAGCGGAGCCGGCGACCACGCGACGCGAAAATCGATGAGAAACCAATGAAGAATCGATGATTGTGGCCGACTGGGGCTGTCCCGGAGAGCAATTCCAGCCGTCTTGGGCCGTCTTGGAGGCCCCGTGGGCCGCATCGGAGCGATGGTGGGCGTGCTGGGGCCGCTTTGGGGCCCCGTGGGCCTCCTTGAGAATCCATGTGGCGTGTCTTAGCTCATCATGAGGGGCCCTGCCTGGACACACGGCCGGGCCGGGGCCCTGCAGGACGAGGATGCAAGGGCGTGTTGAAGAAAGGTGCGACGATGATGGGCGTCATGGGGGGGGAGGAGGAGGAGGAGGAGGAGGAGGAGGAGGAAGAGGAGGAGGAGGAGGAGGAGGAGGAGGAGGAGGAGGAGGAGGAGGAGCCACCTGGAGCCCGCTCGAGCCATTCTGGACGCCTCGCGGGCCGTCTTGGCGCCCGCTTCGGGTGTCATGGGGCGGTTGGGCGCCTCTTGTGCCGTCTCCGCGCATCGAGCAGCGGAGCCGGCAACCCAAGGGAACTTCGTAATTTTTGCCCCAGGAGCCTCTCTCGGGAATAAGCTTGCAGCCCTCTTGGCGCGCCTCGGCGGCTACTTGCCTGAGCCCGCATCGGAGCAATGAGGGGCGTGCTGGGGCCGTCCTGGGGTCCCGGAGGGCATCGTTTGGGGCCCTTGTCACGTGTGCGAGCTCATTTGGGGGGGCCGCCTGGAACCTGTTGGGGTGATCTTGGGCCTATTTGTTGTTTGTTCTGTTTTTTTCGTTCTGGTGGGGCATGATGTTGGCGATGCTCGCGTCACGCCAGAGTCGACGCCGCATTCGGGAATCGGAGCCCACACGGCTCAACCCAAAATGAAACACAATCCGACCGGCAAAAAGGCAACGCGGGAGCAAACGGAGGAGGAGGACGACGAGGAAGAGCGAGGGGGCTGTCCTGCGTTCGCAGCAACGCGAAGCAACGCGGTGTCGAGCTGCTGTCTAAATGACAACTTGTACAAGGCCTAGGCTCAACATGCTCGAACCATGCTCTGATTGGATGCCTCGGCCGATCTGACTGGACAGCGCCCAGACCGAGGCCCTCGTGAGCACGACCAACGAAAGACATGGAATTGGTGAGGACACGATATGGAACTACATGGAGGTAAGCTGAGAGACAGAACGGCGGATCGAACGGTATGGGGATAAGCGGATGTTTCACCACCCAATGGAACGATCCCAGTCTACACAGCCGTGTTCAAAAAGCAGAGCCAGCACACAAGGAATGCAGGGTCGTGAAAAAACTCAAATAGTGTCAGACGCTGTCAGCCACAACTCGGGCAGCCAAGGAAACTTAGCATTTAAAGGTCTGGCACATACTTTGCCAGGTTCACGTGTCATATAAAATATCAAGTACAGAGAAGCGACAGACAGGAGGAAAGGAGAGGATCACCGCTTGACATCGACCCCAATATGCCATCGATCTCCTCGGGATATTTTGACACCCAACCCATGGATGAGAAGTTAAGGTCCATGTGAGCTCCTCATCATCAACGTGTATTGCTCTCCGCCTTCATCTCCTTTTCACACTCGATTTGCGCAGCCGACCGTTCACCTCTGGGCGAAGAAAGGGTGGAGCTCAGGGTTCTTCGTGCGACGCAGCCGCCTCGCACTCCACCTCCTGGCGTTCTCCTCGTAGCCCTGCAGCTGTGCCGCCATGACCTCGAGGACGGGCGCGGCGGGTCCAGCCATGGCCAGCCGCGACCCGTTCCACTCGGCGATGAACTCGAGGGCGTCACCTGGGGTGACAAAGTTTACAAACGCGTGGCCCTTCGTAGTCCGAGCCTGAAAGTCCGTTGGCACGTAGGCGAAGTCATAGCGGTTCGCGAAGCCAGACCGGTCCATGAGGACCAGAAGGTGGCCCTGCGTCACAGCCATTGGAAGGTTGCGGATCACGAGCGTGGTAATGGCTGGAGCGCCAGGGGCGACGGGCGCTGCCTTCTCGATCGGCACCAGCGCCCTGGCCACGGGCTCATCCTCTTGGAGCTCTAGCTCCGTCAGGTCGGCCTCCTGCTGGAGGATCCTCTGCCTGGCCTCCTGCACCTCCTGCTGCAGCTGTGCCTGCAGCTGCTCCAGCTCCAGGAGCCTGGCCCGCTGCATCTCCAGCGCCCTGCTGGCGGCCGCGAGCTTGCCGCCGGAGGCTCCTGCGCGCCCGCCGCAGACCGGCCGCACCGCCCGCGCCGCGAGGCCCAGACCGGGCGCTGCCCCGCCCCCGGCGCGGGCGGGCTCCGCCTGCCGGGGCCCGTCGCCCCAAGGCCTCCCGGCAGGCGCTGCCTCGGCGGCGGAGTGCGGCGGCATGGCGGGCGCGCTGGCCGGCGCTGCTCCGGCGCCGCCGCGGAGCGGGGGCGCGCCGCGGGCTGCCCGAGCCGGCGGGCGCTCGCGAGGAGCCCGCTGGGCGGCGCCGGGGCCCGCCCAGGCCGAGTCCTGCGCGTTCTCGGGCGGGTTCTGGGGTGCGCAGCCTCCTCTGGCTTCCGCCCGCCCGAGCCCGCGCGGGTGGTCGAACTCGTCGTCGGTCTCCAATGGCTCGCTGTCGCTCTGCTCGCAGGGCGGCAGGAGCTGCATGGTGGGGAGCGAGTTCACGGTGGACTCCTGCATGGTGGACAGTGACTGCATACTGGGCAACGAAACAAAAGTGCCGTCTGAACCTGAGTATGGTGCGAACGCGGCGATGTTGGGGTAAGACGCGGAAGATCCGCAAGTTTCCGTTGTTGGCGTGGCCGTGGTGACACTGGTGAAACTGCATTTTCCAGGCGGGACGCAGAAGCCGCAAGCGTTGCACATGGCGCTGGGGATGCCACTTTGAACCCGCTGAGATGTTCCCCGACTCGTCGGCGAGTCCATCGTTGTAAAAAAATCGCGAGCTGTAGAAGATGATGCGGTCCAGTCGCCTGGATCAAAAAGGTGAGCTAGAAGATACACTTGACACTCAACCTCTTGACTCAAAATGACTTGTGCCAAATTGGCTACGGAGGGTGATCTTGGGCCTGTTGGGCCGTCCTGGTGCCCTCTTGGGGTGTGTTGGGGCCCTCTCGGGCGACTCTTGTGCCGTCTCCGGGCGTCGGGTGGCGGAGCAGGGAGGCCACGGGAGCCGCCGTCTCGAAGCCATGGTCGGCGTCCTGGGAGCGCTGCAGTGCTTCTCTGGCCTCCGTGTGGCCCCTTTCGGTGGCTTCGGGTCCCCGTTGAGGGCCCTTTGGGCGGGTGGAGGCCCGTTGGGCCCCCCGT